ACTAGAATTTTTTCATTTATGGATTCAATTTCCATCATTAAAAAATTTTTACCCTTCTCCACTACTTTGCTCCTTATAGTTTGGTGTAACAGGATTGCCACTCCTCCAAAGCTGTTATCTCCTTCTATTTCCGTTTCTGATTAAAATGAAACATCCCCCAGCTCTACACAACCTTTCTTTGCAAACTTATAGTTACAGAATTTATAAGAAGAGCCCTAAATGTTCATTGTCCATTGTCAGCTCAAAGCTACAGAAATAAGAAGGAAAAAATTAATTTAGGGCTCTTCTTATAAATTCTATAACTATAACTTTGCAAAGAAAGGTCGTGTAGAACTGGGGGATGTTTCATTTTAATCAGAAACTTGCGCACTATAACCCTGCATTATTAAGAAAGGCTTGGGTTATTTTTTGGGGTTTCTGAAAAACTGATTTTCCAGAAGATTGGACCTTCGAAGAGCTATGGGGAAGCCCCATGGTCATATTCGGAGTCAGCATGGTCAATAACCTATAACCCACTAGATATCGATCAAAAAGCGATTTATCACCTCGGGAGGTTCCCTTGCCAATCTGGTTCATTCCAGCCACTCCAGCCCATTTCGACCCATTCTACCATTCCAAAAACGCTTTTTCCCCTTTGATTCCCTATCCGACTATCTTAGTTTTTATCGAATTTTCACGTTCAAAAATTATCGAGATTTCGACCAAAAAACGAAAATCAAGTAAAAACTTCGAAATACATAAGTCGACCAGGTTTTTGCTTCTGATCGCGAATATGATATTTTTATTGCATAAAAGTTGAATTCTGATGGAGAAAATTGAGAATTACGAGTAGAATACTGACTTTTTCGCTTCCAATTCTGAAAAAATGAATTTTCTCAGCAAAGAAACAAAAGAAAGAAAAAACGACGCGTACTTTTACTGCACACACTTTGGTGAATTGAATGAGATAAAAAAATGGCATTATTTCTTCACCAAAAATACTAGATAGGCTTGCAAGAGAGGCATGTATCATTTTCAATGGCCTGATTTTCAAAGCCAGGCTCAATCATCGTAAAGTTGAGTATCATCGTATGAATCTTTTTTAAATACTCTTTTAGACACTGAATTTTATTTTTTGAACATCTACGTTTAGAGAACCAAAAACAATTTTTTGTCTCCAAGTCTTACCGTTCAGAAGTTTTCCAGAAATCAAGGTCCAAAAAGGATCCTGAAGCGTTTCCCGAGATTTTTCAACATACTTCAAGATGGAAAGTTCGGGTTTGTTTTGTTTTAAGCTAGACACCGAACTACATGGTCTGACCAGCGCCGATTTTTCAATTCAGCCTTTATTGCTTTTCCAGGCAACCAACTACCTCCAAAACCCGAAAACTCCTTCCGGATTTCCGAAAAATCCTTAATTTGATAAAAAACTAAGATCTAATTCAAAAATCGGCGCCGGTTAGACCATGTAGTTTCTTTTCTCCTTTTAAACAAAAAAAGAATAAACTCTCTATGACAAAACCGCTATAAAAATTCTGGGGAAATACTTCAGGTATAACTCTTATATAGAGAAAACGCTGTATGGAATACTCAATTTTAGAACTTCTAGAAAAATGCTTGTAACTTTTTGATGCAAGGTCATACAGAGTTATGCGAGGTCTTATTTTTATCAGAAAAGTTTGCTCTACAAATCTGTGTGTTTAGAAAAATTTTAATTGCATAAGAATCCAGGAAAAGGCTATTATTTGAAGACCCGGTTTATCGAGGCTTCTAGAAAACTTGCTCAAAATCCGTGAAAAAATACTATTGTAACCAAAAGCGATACAGATTCTGAAAGTAGACACTGCAGGCTATCTTCCCATGTGCTTATCTCAAAATCGATGTTTTGACCGAAAATCACCATTTCTGAGGGTTGGGGCCTTAATTTTCGAGCAGTATATGTCGATAACTATCAGTATCTCTCCGCTTTCATTATCATTAACCGTATTTGCTTTCTCTCTCTCTTTCTTTTATAGGCGCCAATTATCGTTCTATAAAATCTATTGTTCTTTTTCCTTTCTCAATGCATTAGAGTAAATTAAAAGATGGCTGATGACGAAAGTCCATTGATTCAAGTGTCCCGTCAACCGTCTACTATTCCTGTACAAGTTATACCTGGAAAATCACTCAAGAAATTCCCATGGAAACAGTATTCAGAGAGGAAACTAAAATCAAATGTTATGACTCTACTTGCCACTAATACAATGGGTAGTGACACTGGTATTCAACAAGAAACTTATTCGGGATCAAAAACGGTAACGATCGAAAGTATTGTTGGTCAAACCGGAAAATCACAACATGGTGAACAATACGTTAAAAAATCAAATTTGATTGTGAGAGATCAGTACGTGAATCCACAACAATTGATGGATAAGGCATTGAGACAAATCAACGACTATAAAGAACGTTTAACAACACAATTATTGATACAACTAAAAAGCCAAGCAAATATACCACAAGCAATTTGTATAATGGGTACGAGTTCTGAGTAATTCAAACTACCCGTTCATACAAATCAAGCGAGTCTCTTTAATCTGATATTTATTTTACAGTCGACGATGATAGTTCGAACTTTCAGTCTCTATAATAGTATTATCAGATAATTTTAAGCTGTCCTCGTTGATCGAAGTGTGTTCAATAAGCCTTTTTCCTATCAATTCTAGATCAGCCAAAATTAGCCGCTCAACAAGCTCATGATTTATTTAAACTACCACCGCGTCCCCAGACACCACCCGAATTACAAGGTCGTTCAAAACAACAAGATTGGCATGAATTAATCATCAATACAAATGTTAAAAAATCCGATGAAGCTAATACTCTGGAAGGACGATATGAGGTTACACATACTAGTCAACCATCGTCGGATTATTCATATGGAATTCGTGGTAGACACGGCGGTCAAAATGGTAATAGTGGTCAATTACATCCGCTTAATTCATTTAAACGTACAAATGATATTGAAACATTTCTTGTTCGACTGTTGAACTTATATTTTGATGATATGTTGTATGATTCAGTCAAATGTAAAGCAAATAGTCTGGCATTAGCTGACCATTTAAAAGACATTTTTAAACAACTGGGTTATGAACGTTATCGAATTATTTGTCAAGTATTCATCGGACAACATTTAGATCAAACAATTATATGTGCATCACGGTGTTTGTGGGATAAAAGTTTAGACGGATTTTTAGAGAAAAAATATTGTAAAGGAACACTATTTGCTGTGGCACTCATCTATTTTATTTATAAAGAATAGGTCCATCTTATAATGAATACTACTGGATAAATATCAGCGATGCATGTCACTCACGATCAAGATAATAGTGGTGCCGAACGTAACTTTCACTGAAAAACGGAAGCCCCTTAATATTCTGAAACGTTCACAACATCAACGCTCATGAGAAGTTGACACTGATCAATTTCAACGCTTGTAATACAGTACTCCGCAAAAGTAGCGGGCCCTCTGTAGCTCAAGAACTATGATAGCTAGGGGCTTCTAATTTTGTGTGGTCATATGTGGTATACCGAATGCTGATCACCCACCAAGTTTGGTTCTCTTTTACTAGATGGTTCGTGAGATATAAGCGATTCATCTCTTTTTCGTAAAATATCAATAGCTCCTGACCTAAGAGAGATAAAAAATTTCTCTTTTTACTAAAATGTAGCTATGACTCTACTCTATCTACAATATAATCTTTTATGAGTTGGCTATTAGTGGCCAGTGAAATACAACTATTTCACGGGCAAGGATCCTTTCCAAGGAAAATTCATAACTCATTCTAGAAACATCAGTTCCATCTTAAACTCACAGCAAATACTTCTAGACGACTGTCGACTATCCAGTCAAAGTATGAAGGTTAACTATTGCGTGGTTCTGAAAATTCATTGAGAATGAGCACTCATGATTGAAACATACGTAGAAGAGCGAGGGTGAGGAACTAAGCGTCGCTCTTTCTACTATAGAATCTGTATTCAATGTATATGTCGCAGGAGAAATTAAAATTCAAGAAAATTTAAAATTTTTCTAGGAAAAATTAAAATTTTATTTTCTCCTAGGCGAAATTAAAATTGTAACTTTTGCTTGAAAAAATCTAGGAAAAGATGAAATTTTACTTTGTCGTAGACCAAATTAAAATTTTAACTTTTCCTTAGAGAAATTTTAAATTTACCTAAACAAAAATGTTAAAGTTAATATTTTAATTATTCCTATAGGAAAAATTGAAATTTCTTTTGATGTCAGACTG